AACTGAAAGCTGAGTCCAGGCACCAAACTCCACTAAACTTTGCCTCACAGTTTTGCAAGAGCAATGATGGAAAAGGGGAAGAGAAGGGAATAAGAAAATCTCTTACATTTTTTAGAAGAGCAGATACTGTACTTCAGCTGTCTCACAAATCTCAGCCTTTTTCCTACCAGATAAAAAGAAGCAAAAGAGGTCAACAAGCCACTCTCAAGCTGCCTGTGAGAAGCTTGTTGATGCTTCCTATTCCTTGCAATTACAGACTTTATGTGCCTTTTGAGACTAGGTACAGAGCAACTCAAAAGATTATTTGTGCCATCAACTTACTTCTTCTGTCCTGGTTAACTCCTAGACAGTCATCTGTCAGAAAGTAAAACAGAATCACATAATCAACTAGATTGAAAAAGACCTTTGAGATCATGAAGTCCAACCTGTGACCTAACACCACCTTCTCAACCAACAGTGCATGGTATCTTTTTGACAAGCCCTGCTTGTCAAAAAGCAATGAAGTTGGGCCAAATCCCTTGATCCTTCAGGAAGATGTGCACTGCACCCATAAGGCTTCAAGGAGTGGCCGCTTCTTTTTGAAGCTGTCAATCAAAAAGACAGGGGCTGAGCAATTATGCCATAAGTTTTTCCTTGGGTCTCCTGTTTTGCTTCTCCCAGGTGAACGGAGGCACTATTTCTGTTCCTTCCTTCCTCCCCCTCTATGCTTCCTGAGCTTCTGCTCTGCTTTCCGTGGGGACCTGTTTGTGGCTTACTGGTTTACCCATCACAGAGCACCTGACTTCTTTAACATTGTACATGAAGCTTTATCAGAGCTGATGCATGAAACTCTTTTATACAACATAGAATTTGAGATTAAATATAACCACCTTGACATCCCCTTAAAGTTAATCTCACAGACAGTGCATGTGTCACACCATCTGCAAAGATAAAAGCGTGGCCAAACTGTACATCAAAACTGCCCCGTTAGAAAAAGCTTCCTCTGTAGCACTGGCTGCTAACAGACATCCAGTCCTTCTGACTTGTGGTATGAGGGATACCTGGGGACTCATTCCAAATCTGGATATTCTCTTATCTGGTTCAGAGCTGCATTCTCAGGCCTTCAAAATCCTAAGAAAGTATTTTACATGTTTTTTTAAGATTTTTTTTTTGTATTGTAATTGCCTTTTTGTGTGTGTGTTGTTTTGCCATTCCTACAGGGGTTGAAGGGCTGCTAACTTAATCTCAGACCTTGTCTGTCACTCTGCAAGAAATGCATCCCTTTCTAAACCTGGAGGATGCTGTTCGTGGGCTCTCTTTTTTGCTGCATCTTTAACAGACAACAGCCCAAGTATAATGCTGCTGCTGACTTTGGCTTCTAACTTTGCTCAGTAGCTAATGTTTAGAAAACATTTCCCTCAAAGATATCTCTGAGTCTCTGAATTAGATAGCGTTAGACTTTTTTGTTCTTACACCGTAGTGTAATATTGCTATGGTTTTCCCTCTGAGTGGACACTCTTTCTGCAGCATGCAAATACAGTTATCAAACAGACTTTAAAAGAAATCTTTTTGGTATATACTGTAACATTTAATTGAATTGCTATTTTGCAATATTTGCTGAATTTGAAAATCTTAATTTTTGGCCTAAATTGCATGACGAGAGTTCTTAAAATATTTAGGATTGTCTTACTGCCCTCTGCATGATCTTGTTTTAAATGGAATTATTATTCTGCCTTCTATAATCACTGGTCTACCATAGAGATGGGCATCTTGGTTCTGTGGAGACCTACTGCAATAAAGCAGCCTAGGCCAGTCAGACCAGACAATGGGAAGGCACTGGAAAGGCAGAGGTGATAGTACTGCTGTACTTCTTGAAGAGTAGGAGTCTAGAACATGAGACATCGTCTCTATTAAAAATTCTTTGTATAGGTGTTGGCATAAGCTAAAAAAATTTCAGCATCTTGCTTTGGTTCAGGAACTTTTTTTTGGCTGTAGCGGAAATAGGGTGACAAGGTTCAAATAAAGAAGATATTCCTTCCTGATACTTGTCAGTGTAAAAAACGCCTTGGGAGCCAGGAGAAGATGAAATCTTCTTATTTATATCCCTGAGGACCTCAGAAATGCTTTTTGAATATTTATATTCTGCTCTGTCTGTATTTATGCAATATCTCTGAAATAGGGAATTACACTTACCCCCATTTAATTAATCACAAAATGATGAGTGCAGAAGCCCATAAATAGGTTCTCAAAGTCACACAGTATATCTCACTGATATAAATGAGAAGGAAATGTTAATAAAAAAACTCAGTCTTCACTGAAATTAATGATTTCAGACTTAGTGCAAATCCACACAGAGGGTGATACCACAGCCTTTCACTACAGACCACTGCTTTACCACGTGGGCTACTACTGATTTGTAACTGCATTTTGGTAGGGCTCTGAAGCTGTAGACATATTAAAAATAATCAAAATAAATAATTCTGAGCTGTCCAATGAGCATTCTAATAATGAGCTCCTGCTTATCACCTTTTGAAGGCAATTTTTCCAGAGGCAATCTAAAAATTTCTGTGAAATTCTTAGGTGTCACTTTCCTAGCAGCAAGCAGCTGAAATGTCCAAAAGACTTGGCTCTTGAGAATGCAGTTCTTATACTAATAGAGGTAAACATACAGCTGTATATTTGCCTTATCTGAATTTCTGTATTGATAAACTGCAGTCTACAGGTTTTGACAAATCTGATTTTGATAAATCATATTTTGATTTATGCCTTTTCCCTCAGTACCTTCTAAGACATTTTGACTTGACAAGGCAGAATGTATAAGGTTTTATGTCCCAATTCAAAACTATGGCTTCAAAACATACCATTGACTAGAAAATACCTAACTAAGGAGCATTTCATTAGACCAGGGTCTGCAGCTGAATCATTAGCATCATCTAGAAGGCAGTTTCCCTCCTGTCTCCAAATCCCAGGAGGGAGTGTGAATCACAAAACTCGAAAGACCATTTGATCTGTGTGACCTGCCTGCCACACACAACCTCTTTCATAAGCGTGGTATTTAACTACCAGCATACATGGTCATTCCTGCAGACACTGAGAAAATTCATACATGACCTGTGCATTTTCTTCTTCTCCTAGAGAGTAGTCAATGGACTGGAAGAAGTATTGAGACTCTACTCTTGATAGATGTTAGAAGAGCTTTTATTCACAACAACCAGAATGCTCCTTACCTGGCTTGAAAAAGAAATCTCATCCTTTGACAACAGTAAACTTTCTTGCAGATTGCTTTCTGCTATGTTTGCAGAATTATAGTAGGGTATGATGGAATGACCATTTGGGGCTTTAAAGGAAGACTGCAGTGACTTTGTTTAAGGCAAAAGAAGAGTAGAAATCCTCTAACTCTTTTTCCTTGAGTTAAATGGGCTGTAGATAGTGGAGTAAATGACTACACAGGAGCTGCAAACAGACAACTTCATAGAGGACAAGTTACAGGCTACAGGTAAAACCTTGGAGGACACAGAACAGCCACTGAAAGCCCTCTCTGAACTTGTCTTCTGTGTTTCTTCTGTAACCCATATGTGGGTTGAACCTGACTTCTGAGAAAACAGGCAGCCAAACTGTACATGTAATTTTTCTGTGAATTATGAAAATATGAGGTCATGAAACTGTTTTTTCCTATCCACTTACAGCAGTTCTGATGCCTCTCTAACACAAAGGTTAAGACCGAAAGCTTCTTCCTCTGCCCACAAAGAGGGACGTAAATTTGCGTTTGAATATAAAATTTAAAACATTCACTCATCACAAAGAAAAGAACTGTGTGATATGACAGGTATTATGAGTTTAATAATCTTTGCTCTTCCCCTGTATGACGTATATATAAGGCAGTACTGCATTCTTAAGGTCAAACCAAGAGGGAACTTCAGCTGATTTATTTATGCACTATAATCCCAACACTCAGCAATGAGTTTTTAAAAGACAGCAGTCCCTGGGAAAGGAGTCCAGCACAAAATTTGTCTGACCTAGCATGCTCTACTACGTCATTCTTAAAATCTTGCCATTTACGATCCCTGTTCATCAGAAACACCATAAATGAAATAGTTTAGCATGCTCTTTTGCTGCTATATTTTCTGTCCTCTAGGGGGAGATCAGTAATGCTGGACTTCATTTATTTCTCAGGATTAGAAAGGAAAAGGTATCCTAGTATTAGACCACTTTGACAAAGTGGTCAAAGTAATGAGATTAATAAAGTTGAGGGCTTTTTGCAACAGAATGAAAAATTCTGTATTTAAACAGATCGCTCCCACCACACAGAATAACATGCCTTTTGTTCAGTGATTTACCATGTTTAATTAGTAATTTTTTCAGTATCTTAACCATGTATTCAGTTAAATAAAGTAATAAACAAATGTGTTCAAAGTGAGGCAATAGTGTCTTTATGTTATTAATAAATTGTGATCAGATCTCTGTGGGACATGGAAAACTAAAAATAAGTACATAATCTTTGCTTCTCTAGCAAAATTTTAGTGCCAAATTCTGCTCTCAGGTAAATTTCTGTAAAGCATTGTTCATAACAGCATCACAATAGAAGGGCATGTTCACGGTTTTAAAAAGTGCCAAAGGTCAGTAGTTGTATCTTAAAGGCTCAGCACACATCAAGTGGAGCCCTGGTGCCAGGCTCATATCACCTTGCTGCCCTACTACATGCAGTCACAGCATCATTCCTCTCCAGCAAACTGATTTGATGTCAACAGATTTGGCTAATTTTTAATTTTTTTTTAACTTCAATTCGCCTGTTTCAACAAATGAGAGCACAATTTGGCTGCTTTCTCAGGGAAAAGGAAGCCAACTAAACATGACTTTCACCAGGCCTCAGTTTTTGGCCCCAGATTTCAACATACACTTTTACAACAATCAAAAGAACCATAGAAATTACTTATTTTACTGTTCCTTAACACGTATCACACAGTCCTGCAGCAAGCAGAATCACAGATGAACCTCAGAACATACAGAGAGCACAACTACTATACTGGACATGAAAAGGAAATTTTATTAAACATGTTTACATAACATGAGTTGGAAGTTCATTTAAAAGCACAGGGGAGTGTTAAGACAAGTGGTCAAAATAGAAAGATACTATTGAATTATAGCTAGTTGGTTTTTGTCCACTAAGACAGAACAGGATCTAGTAGTAGTGCACCAATGCTTGAGTTCTTCCTGCTCAGCAGGTCGAGCAGTAACCAATCTGTGCCCTATGGAAAGATGGGCAGAATAATTCCCATGTGTTGAGTAATAATAAATAGTTCACTTGGTGCAGGCAGTATGTCTATGAATTAAAACCTAGTGTGTACACAGTTTCTACATGTGTTACAGCCCCACAGTAGGAATCTACACCAAAATAGTTATTAGAAGGAATTTGGTCCGTACTACATCACGTTTTCCATAGGGTAAAAAATAAAGTCCATCTATAGACATTTAGCACCAGACCCACAGACCTAGCCTGGCTAAAACCTGCAAAATGTCTATAAGAAAAATGGATGGCTTAGATTTCTTGGTTACTTCAGTATAGTAATTACGAGCAAACTGTACAAGTACATGCAACATACAAGCTGGCCTATGTGGAACTAACATACATTATTAAATAACCTTTTTCATCTCTTTTTACAAAACGTGCATGCAGCTTTGAACAGTTCCAAGTCATGCTGCTCTATTTGTGTGATCACAAAATTGAATGGCCTGTAAAAGGAGGGGAAACATATCAATGCACCTGCAGGAATCTGCAGTTCTTCGCACATTTACAGAATATCACAAGGGATTCAAGGCCAAGAAGAACTCAAATGAATAAAAAGCAAATTGAAATTTGATTTTTTTTTTCTTCAAAAAGTAAGATATCTTGCGTTAAAAAATCAAGCCTTGTGCTTGCATCAATCTCAAAGAAATGTAAACTAAAATTTGGTAAAAACATTAGTAAGTGCAGAATATTTCAACTGGAATCTCCAGTGAAACATTGAAGAACTCATACCATGCTCTATCCAGGGCAGACAGGTGCGTCTGAAGTGACACACATCAGAGAAGCCTGGGTACAGCTGAAAGTGTCATATGCTCAATTCATTCCTGGTCAACATTTTGGGAAGTCAAATATACATTTATACACAGAAACATAAGTATTTCCTCTCCAATTCTAGGAGGAAAATTGCATTACCAGTAACATATTCAATGTCAAAATTAAGACTAAAGCTGCTTTATACCAGTCCCCAGCAGTAGTTGCAGAATTCTTCAAAATTCTTCCATGCAAAACATCATAAACCGAAAAATTATTTTATATATATATATATATATAATGCAAACATATCTGCTTTTTACAAATAAAAAGTGGCACTGTGATGATTTTTATTTTTAAGAATATAACTTAGATTGGTCATTTATTCTGGGTTCCCACGTGAAAGACTTGTAAGTAGCAGAACTGAGGAACAATTTGAACTCACTGGAATTGTAATTGTGGCTGCTGAACACTTTAACGATGCTTACAGAGATATGCTTCAGCCCTTTTTTGTTTGGTTTAGAAGAAGAAAGGAAGGGTCTCTGTTAGCATTGTGAGGACTTCTACAAAACTATCAGAATCACGTGGCAAAAAAACTAGTGGAAGTGACAAGTACAGAAAAACTGTTGAAACACCAGGAAGGTAACATTGCTTGAGGGCTCTCTCAAAATGTGAAAAAACAACATTGTTAACAGAGTGAGAGCTTCCAGTTTGGGTCATCTTTGACTTAGGTCGAATTTAAATGTCTCTCTCTTTTTTCTTTTTCCTTTCTTTTCTCTTTTTTTTTTTTTTTTTTTTATCATTATAAGCATCAGTGATAGCTGCTAATAGATTAGCTGTATGTGATATACCTTTGTTCTGTCAATTTAAGCCATCTCTCAACAGACAGACATTTGTTTAGATAACTACTACAAGCAAAAACAGAAGTGATTGTCTCTCTCCAACAGTGTTTCCTGACGGTGTGAATATCTGGTTCCAATTGTTATCCTGGGTGATGTTTTTGAATAGACAGCACCTGCTACTATGATCTAATGCAGGGAGGCCCAGTTGAACTTTCCAGAGATGACTGGGAAGCCCTACGTGTCAGGGGAGTCAATGTTGGATCCACTAGCGATGAAGGTGGAAATAATTTATACCAGCCTATTACCACGCTGGACAGATCCAGTTCCTCCAGAAGGATCTGGGCAACTCCCATGAAGCATTTGTGGTCCATTCGGCCGTAGTCTCCCCAGACTATTACCTGGAAGAACATAAAATTAAGGTTCATGATTGTCCCCAAATCCACGCTTATAGAGGGTTATATACTTAAACCTGTGCTTATGTATGTTTGCTCTTGCTATTATAAGGCAAATGTTCTTCTCAAGAGTGAATGACTGCTTCCCTTTCATGGGAAAACCTCATGGCAGGACAGGAACAAGAGTCAACAAAAAATAAATGTTTAATGCAATAAGACATTTTTCAAGTCTGAAACCACAAGCTACAAGGATGTCCATAATGGTATTTATAAAATTAAATGCTTATGAGTTAGAATGGAATTACACATACCAGTTAAATTTAAGTAAACATGCAAGCGATTCCCCAAATGACAGCCTAAAATAGGATTAAGAAGAAACTGACCTGAAGGACTTTACCCTGTGGACTTTCCTCAAAAACCAGTGTCTGTTGGTACAGAGGATCAAGTGTCTTCCTTGCAATTCTTGTCTTCTTCTTAGCTATACATGCTCCATTTTCCAGTAAATACACTTTAACATACGGAGCTGCAAACAGAACATCAAGAATGTTATGTTTGGACTTACAGTGCACACCTGAAATGGAGGACAAATGCCTTAAAAGGAAGCAGAGTAGAAAGAAAATGACATGTTATTTTTATTTTATCTTTGCAATTGCATAATCTGAATACAATTATATTCATAAAAAAGCTAACACAGACCACAAGAAATCAATTTGATTTTTATAAACTTTCAATGTAATGACCTAAGATGTTACTAACAACACTTCAAGTCAGTAATTTAAAAAACATTTTCTTTTTCTAGGAGTTAGCTGTCACTGACAACTATTCTTGATTCTCTATGAATGCTTAGGGGTCAGAGGTAGTTCAAAGCAAAAGGAACCTTTAAGACTCTGCCACTCCAATCACAGACACGAATTGCTCTTTGAACTTTAGCTCCTAAAGAGATTGCAAAGTACCATTTTCACTAAATGTTATTTAAAAGAACTGTTCCAGGTGTTACAATAAGCAGTGGGTGGGGTATTGATTCGAAATCTCCTCTAATAATTGTTTCTATAAATCACTAGAGCTTCAACAAATGTCCTTATAAAATGATACAGTATTATTACAATATACATAGTAATATTATAATAATATATATTATGTACATGATTGACACTGACAGTAGCACTAGCACAAGCTGCTCCCTTCTTGAAGCATTATTGTGTACAGTTTTTTCCATACCTGGGGTAGATTTGGAGCCAGGTTTTTGTGTGAGGCCACGGGCTCTAATGACTTCTACTTCTAACTGGCCTTTTTTATCCACCATTCCAATCTGGATATCACCTGAGAGGGAGAAGAAGAAGCCCACATTTTAGAGAAGCATTACAGCACAGGAGATAAGGTATAAAAGTGAGAAAAAGAAAGACTAGTTTTGTATTATTCTTCTGTATTACTGCACTTGTTATCTCTCCTGATGATCTCTTTAGCTTCTCCATCCTTAAACAAGGACTAAATAATATATATTTAGGGGGTATGATTCCCTCTCTTGGTTTACAGTTCATACCAGCTAAAAAGAGGTATTTTTTCTTCAAAAGTCTTCACCAAGCACACAGGTGACAATTTTTCCATTTTTATCAATATTCCATACACATTTTTGGGGAATGCATTTGGTGGGACTAAAATGTCACAACATGTTAAAAAAAAGATACTGCTTTAATTTCTAAACAGTCAAACTTGTTTCCTTGCCTAAGTTTTGACAAATGACATTTCCTGCAGAAAAAGGAAGCTGCTTACTCTGAGACTAATCACTGTTCTGATCTAGATCAATAAAATACAAGGGCAATAAACTAAATACTGATGCTCAAAATATTGTATCTCTATGCTTTCATCTATCATGGAATCAGCTGAGAAATTAATTTAGATTATAATAGATTAAAATAGGCTATTTAGAATAAAAAATGCTACATGACACTTGAGCAGATAAATTAACTTCATCCATGAAATACGTGAATACATATATCTTTGATATGTAAGCTCTGATTGTCTAAATAAAATTCACAAATAGCTGCTCCTGAACTATAGAATTTGGAGTCTGGATTTAGAGAAACAGCATTTTGAAATTAATTGGGCATGGGATTTTCACATGTTTCTCTAACAGCATATTAAAGCAGTGTTTATACTTTGGTATGTGAGGTATGAAAGAACAGCAACAAAGATTTTTTTTTTTTATCAATTAAACTTTGCTTGAATAAAAACAGTCATGGTTTGCACTAAAAATAGTTCAGAGGAAAATTCCAACAAGCCTTTTTAAGAGCACATCTCTGTATCTCATATCCAAAATAAAACATGCAACAGGTAACCAGAAGGGGGAGCAATAATCCAAACATCTTCAAATCATCACTAATGAAAGGATACTACAGATCAGATCTTCTAAAAATTGTTTAAAAACACGGTGAAGTGCTTTTAGTGGGCCAAAACTTGAGCCTATAGCAGATGGAGTTCTAAAAAAAGTAAAAATAAATGTACTCAAGTTGTCTGCAGAAAAATCTTAAATTGCAAAACAAGATTAAAATAAAGAAACAGAAGAAATGTAGACTTATATACATGCCAATATACATGCTTACAGACACTTATATACATGCCAATACAGCCATTTAGATACTTATTGGACAAATAACCTCACTAATACATTTTCTTCTAAAATAATAAGAGGAATGTTAATTTAATAAGTTTGATGTTTATGAATGCTTTAGTAGCAGTTATTTGTATTTATACAGCAAGTTTTCCTTAGAGGGTCTTCAGAGCATTCTCAGTATGGTTTTCCTTCTGCCCATGAGTTGGGAAGGGAACACTGTCTTTTGAAATTTTTTTTCTTTTTCTCTCTTCTTTTTCAGAGCTGTCTCAATGTGGGAAATGAATTACTCGTTTACCAAGACAGTTGTATTGAAGCATTGGCCATTTATAATTTCCACAAGGAGAAGTATTATTACAGTAGTGGATCAAGGACTCCTCAATTAGCATCCTAAAGCTTGTCTAAGAAATGCTCATATATAAGCCCAAAAAACTCCAACCCAAATGTGTCCAAAGATACTTGCACAGTCCTGCACTCTTTTACTCCTTACAGACCTCATATCCTGTTCATAAAGAAGCTACAGCTAATGATGCTAAAGGAAATGACAGACTGGTTTGGAAAACAGAGAAGATCACAGATAGCCTCCAGCAGCTGTTGTAGAAAAGGACTTTATGTCTCTCATGAAAAGCACTGGCTTTATCAGTGACTGATTACTGGTCATCGCAAATTTTCCAGAAGTTTCACTTGCTGGAGTGAGACAAACTAAACTTGAAAAGGTGCAGTTTGGCCAGAAACCCTCTGTCACATCCAATATAATTTCTGTCTAGTAAATATGAACTCTGAACAGCTGAGATTTTGCAGTGAGCTATGATTGGAGAAGCCACAATAATTTTGTGTGGGAAGTAAAACCCCTACCTTCAAATTGCAAATAAGATTAGCCAGTACCTCAAATGGAGCAAATAGTTTCTCACCCCACTTTGGATGCTGCAGTGATAGGAACACTGGTGACTGCAGATAGGACCTTCTTGTTGACATTGAAGGAAGACACTTGGTAAAAGTACTTTTGGTGCTGTAGTCTGGCAGTGTATGCATTAGTTAATTGTCCTATTATTCATTTAACAGAGGAGAACATATCATTCTTACCCATGGCAGGGGTTGCTAGTGTTTGTCGTCCTACTAACTGTGCAGGTCCCAGTCCATCAAGGAAATCACTGAACTGACTGTCAGCGCCCAGCCGTACTCCAGGAAATATTAAGCTGAAACAAAATAGAAGCTGGTTAAGCATAAGAACAGGATTAATTTCTGTTATCCTACAGAATTTACCTCAAAAATACAACTATACAAGGCAAGCAGCTCAGGATGCACAACTACAAATCATTCTGCAGTGTCAGGAATGAGATGTTTCCCATGGACCCCAAAGCAGTGTAGAGAAACTCTGCACATCAACTCGAAGTAGTCCATAAAATAGGTCTTCAGGAACAGTGAAGAGCTTGATAGGTAAATAGACTAAGAATGACCTTGTATGAGAAAACATAAAAAGCTTCATGAAATTTCATATCCTATTCTTCATTAGTGAGTGTGTGATTTGCGTTGATCCAAACCCCATCTGCATCAGTTAGAACAAACAGGGAAAACAGATGTATACACTAAATTAATCTGATTGCTGCAGCTGTTTAATGAAGCGGTAAACTGGCAGGTAGTAGCAATAGTGGTGATTAGAGCTAAAGCTAACGCCACTCTCCAGCCAAAATATTCTGGCAGACAAATCTGGATCTGCAGTTGCTACCCACTTCTCTGTCATGATACAAACTGAACTGTAACACATCAGTACATTGTATATGGAAACATTCAAGGCCAGGTTAGACAGGGCTTTGAGCAACCTCATTTTGAAGCTGGCCCTGCCCAGGGCAGGGGGTTAGACTATATGACCTTTACAGGTCCCTTCAAACTCAAACTATTTTATGATGCTATAAAATGTACTTTGCCAAGCTGCTTTCTTATATTCCATAGTGTCCACTTTTTAAAAAATAGATATACAGTCTCCAAAATATAACAAAAGGAAAAAACAGAGAAAGAAAGAATGATCCATGGTGGGAAGACTCAGCTTTGACTTCCTTCTAACAATTATGAGAAATAACAGACTCTGAACCAAGTCTAGAAAACGTATTCCCCAGTAGGCCATCCACCACTCTATATCCTCTTCTTCTTCAAATGAAACTCCCCCATTAGACTGCAAAAATAATAGCAAACTTCCAAATAAAACCAAAAGCATCTAGAGTTAAGATCTTTGATTCCTGCACATCAGGCTTGTGTGCTTCAGCCATTCAATTCACAGTTCTTTGCAAACCCAGTAGTTGCACAGAAAAAATCCATTCCTCTGCTGAAGACTAAATGTTCTTTCTATGCCTGCATTAAACTTATTGACCGTCTGTGACTGAAGCTGGTCAGAAAATATCATAGAATCATAGAATAGTCTGAGATGGAAGGGACCCACAAGGATCATCAAAGTCCGACTCCTGGCCCTGCACAGGACAGCCCCAAAAACCTCACCGAGTGCCTGAGAGCATTGTTCAAATGCTTTTTTCTTGAACTCTGTCAAGCTTGTTGTTGTGACCACTCGCTGGGGAGAAAAACCTTTTGTAACATCTAGCCTAAATCTCTCCTGATTCAGCTTCATGCCATTCCCTTGGTACAGCACTTCTCTTTAGAAAACTCTGTTTTCCAAAAGGTAAGATTTTTCACAGAAATTTAGTTTTAATTTTTTTTTTTTAATATGGCTTCTTTAGATGGAGGAAGAAAAGAATTTCATGGTCTCCCGTAAAACACCAAAATACAATCTGCTTGTCTCCCCAGTGGCACTATCCTTTCACTCTTGCCTCTGCTATGAGACATTTCTTGCTTGTTTCATTGGCTTTTTTTTCCCAAAATATGTTACCTTTTGCCACTAACAACATTGAAAACATTTACTTGAGAGCACACTTATGGCTGTACATATGATAATGGACTTTGGAAGTACACATTCATCTTAATGTGTATTACTTCTAATTCATTAAACTCCAGTTAAGGGTCAAGCAAAAGAACATGACCTTACCTGGGGCGCAAGCACTCTGTTCACTTTTCAAGCTTGCTTTCCTCACTGCCTTACTCAAAGGCTGATTCTCAAATAGTAATTTATGTCTCTACCTTTCTCTCCTGCAGATGCCTGCTGTGACCTCCAGATCCAGACCTTGGCTACCCCAGCCATGCCAAATCTATTTACACACAATGAGGGTGGAACAGAGGATTAAGCTGTTCCACTGAAAATGTCCTCACCCTTGATGCTGGGCTCCCACCTCTCCTCTCCACTGCTAACCAGGGAAACAGACTCCCCCAGCTCCTCCCCAAAGGATCCAGGTTTTTGGGCCCTTTGTCACCAAGGTGAGTAACTGGTGCCCTATAGATTGCCACTCCAGCATAGAGAAGGGAAGGAGGATGGCAGGGTGGAGTGTTGAAAGGGTAAAAGTCAAGGAATCATAATGGGGAAAACACTGTGATATTTTACTCTTGTCCCTCATTCTCCATCTGATCTTTATCTGCTTTGGTTTTGAATTAGTCATGATGGAGCCTGTTTTTCTTTCATGGCTCTTAAAATTCATAGCCTTATCACAGAACTATATAATGGTTTGGGTTGGAAGGCACCTTAAAAATCATCAAGTTTTGATGCCTGTGCCCCATCTAACCTAGCTGTGAACACTCTCAATGATGAGCTAATTCACAGTTTCTCTGGGCAACCTGCCCCAATGTTGCAAAAAAATTAGAGTGGTGAGAAGATCTTATGATGAAAGCACCTTTACACAGATCGTTACCACCACCACCACACCAGTCTTGGCTCTTTGTGCCTCATACAGTATGCAGTATCAATTGTGGTAACACACTAAGCATATAAAAAGGTGAAGCCAAAGAAGTCCAGATCTCTAATTTTTTTTTTCCACGTCTATAAAGGTGCATTTGCCCACCCCCATTTTCCCCTTTATTTGGGGAGTTATTGTCTAAGAATTCCCTAGTAACCCGTACACCTTGACACATGCAGTAGAGTGCCACTTAGAACTGCGAGGATGCTGGAATATGCCTGCACATTTTTGTGTCAGAACTGCCTTTGTTCTCCTTTCCTACATATTAGATTGTTCAGTAGTGAATGGAAACAGCTCCCCCATTCCCCACAGCTCTCTGTCTGACTTCAGCTGATGGGGCAGCTGGCTCTGGGTTTACAGCTCTTAATAAGAGACTTGGAACAACTCCAAATTAAACCTTCTTTGTATATAGTATTACTGAACAGAGTTTCATATCACAGGAATTCACATTCAACATCTGAAGTTTTACTCTGAGGTAATCCAAACATATCTAAAAGAAAAAGTATCTCTGTATTTTATTTTGAACAATGCAGTCTTAATTTAGTTGTCTTTTGATGAACAAAATGCCTCACTGAGTGACAGTGAAAATTAAGAATTCTTAAGAAGTTCTGTCTCAATTTCAATTTCCATGAAATTTGTGTTATGTACCTAAAATAGTTCACTTTTTTAAATGTTTCAAGAGGAAGAATCTTTACACAGAGCCATTCCCTTCAGCTAGACATCCCAAGTAATGGGAAGAAACTTCTACTACATTAGAAACTTCTCCTACATTACTGATATTTTTAATGACACTTACTTGCCCTCGGAGCTATAACTATTTATGCTGCCATCAGTGGATTCTCGACTTGGCTGTCGAACCATACGACTTCTCATCTCTGCTGCCATTCCTGTTTCTGTGCTTCTCTGTATCGTGCTCTTTAGCTTCTTGCTGCCAGCCTCTGAAAGCAGAGAAAAAGAAGTGACAGTTAGAATAACTTACAGCAAAGCCTTTCTTTGCAGTTTTCACCCAAGAACAGGAATCTAACTTGGTCATTCCTATTTACTAACATAAAAAGACTATTCTGATTTACGAAGCAATCTCTCTTCCTCAGTTACAAACTGGAAATGACTTCTATTTAAAAGGCTGCAACCTGAAGATCTTCATTAGGGCAAACTGTTTAAAATTAGATATTTTGTTAATAGCCTTTACACAACTGAAATGCAGACAGGTTGTGATACTGTTTACTAACCACATACTTGGTAATATGCCTCTAGCCACCTTGCTAGGTTGGGTGACTTCAAAAGAAGATATAGTTCTCACAGAAAATAAAAAGAGAAAAATTCTTCATGCATACAACAGAAAAATGTTAAATACTAAGATACTTAGTATCAAAAATATAATAATGTCTTTTGACATTATCTTACTTCTCACCACAAAATGTCTTCAAAATAAACGGTAGACTTTACAGAAGGTATAATCTTAGCAGTTCCGAAATAGAAATAACTCTTGGGGAATTTGTTTGGGAAACCACAAAATAGTTAAACTGGACACGACCACAGTGGAGCATCTGGTCCAACCTCCCTGCTTCCTTTGCCCATTGCACAAGATTGTGTCCAAACAGTTCTTGAATATCTCTAGTGAGGAGACTCCACAACCTCTCTGGGCAGTCAGACTCTAGGCTTGCAACTGTAGGATTAGAAAGTAATGTAAATACTTTGAAATAGTTTAAAGACTTCATCCATTTGGTCAAGCTTCTATCCCACATCCTTTAAAATGTAATTTGATTTTCACCCCGAAGTTTTCATGTTTCCCCTGTGCAAGAAGAGCTTCCAGTCCTTTACAGGTTCTCTATGCATTATGGCTGATCTAGAGTGAATTCTGCTGTCATACAGCAGAAACTACTCTTCTAGATGATGATAGTTGTTTTCAATGATCTTTATATTTCTTCCACCAAAGTTTCCATGTGATGTAATAACATGTGTTGACTTCAAACTCAGTGTCCTGGTCTTTTTCATTTAGTTAAAAATAGGTACCCAAAGTTCAATGGGTAACAGCACTTTCTCTCAGAAAGTAATAGATTTGACAAGGTTTCACATAAGTACATGCTACAACATTCTTCTGCATTTGTCCCTTCATTTCAACACTCCTTTATTCACCCCTGGAAAGTCTGTGTGCATATTTTTCATGATCTTCTCAGGGAAACAGATGAAAAAACAAAAATTTCTTCCATCTCCCCGTGATACGGAGATTGAGTTGCTCTGAAAAATTTTCCACCTTCCTCTTGATGTTTGAAACTGACAGATCTTGATAGATCTTATTCATTCCAATAAAACTTAAGACTTTTGTAGCCCCCACACAGCCTGCCCATTCCCCAGGGTGTTTAAACATGCCGTGGAGATCAGTTGGCCCTTGCACTTTGGGTCTGCAGAGCTGGTCAAAGTCAAGAAGAAATCATACCATGCAGCTATCAGAGTAACCTCTTTGAAGCTCTCAGGGAAACAGCAAACATTGCCTCGGTGAAAGAATTACTATATTGGGCTCAGAGGAGATATGCCCACAGTGAAAGGGGCTGAGGTTTCCCAGCTCATCCACGTTGCCAGTCCTCGGTCAGCTGAAAACACATTAACCAATGCTGCTAAATGTGAGGTAGAGTAGCGTAGGCAAGGTACACTGGCAGACTGGGCTCCACTCTTACGCAGTGCAGGTGGCGCTTCAGTGACTCAGTATGTAGAAACCCAAATGCTACATTTTCTCCTGAACTTCCTCTTTAAAAACTGAGGGTGTGTTCAGTATATCAAAGCTGATAGGCAGGATGAGTGTCAAAAATAACTCAAAAAGCAGCTTGGAAGTATAAGCCACATACAGAGCTGTACTCCAAAGCAGGATTTTCACATTTTCTGTAGGTATGCATTTTCCACCCATATTGTTTTATCTCTCTCTCTCTCTCTCTCTCTCTCTCTCTCTCTCTCTCTCTCTCTCTCTCTCTTCGTTTTTCTTGCCAGGAGCTATCTGAAAGTGTGTCTGTTTCCATGTCCTCCGAGAAAGCATGTGAGATTATGTGGTTTACCTGCTGCCTGCATTTCTGGAGCCAGTCAGATCAGGCAGCATGACCTGGAGGATATAAAAGCCTGAAATGTGTTCAGCTGAATAGGGTTGCTTATGAGTATTCAGGGATCAGGAAAAGTAAATGAGGAGACTCTAGAGGTAGCTACAAGACCATCATGGTCTTGGCACAAATTGGAAAAGATACGGTGTTCTGGACCCCCTGGACAACATGGTGAGAGCCAGGTTGTTGGGACAGATAACAAATATAGTCATAGAAATAATCACTGTAAAAATATCCATTTACTAAATTACAAAAATTAATATTTTAGCTTTGGGCCACAGTAAAGGTTGAAAATAGCAGGCGGATTTTTTTTTAAAGAGTAATGTTACATTGTTATGTATAACATTGGTACTACTGTTTAAACACACTTCTTTTCTCCACAGATTTGAAAAGCACAAATCCTGAAATAGGAATCCTTGTGCATGGCCAAAACCTTGTCTTGCGGAGCTGCAAGTGCCAGATTGTCTTTTTCCAAGAACTTTTCAAGTCACTGCTCTCTGTCTTACAGTCCCAGATTCTACTTCTTTCTCTTTTCTCATCAGCATTTTTACTTTTCAGGTTGAAGAATCAAAAGCATCTTTTTGCCTCCCCTTATAACTGCTATTATTACCCACAATGTTTCCCAGGAAAACTAGAGTCCTTTATAACCTCAGTCTTAATATTCTGAAGTACAAACAGAAATATAACAGTAACCCCACAGAATGACGAAACACAAGAGTTTTAGGGCACAGAAAAAATTGCTTTTGCCCATTGATAAGAATCAAAATACTTGTTGCACAGGTTTTGGAAGTTTTAACCTTGGTCACTTATGCGTCTCATATCTTACATGATACATTATTTTTTGCAATTTGAACACAAAAAGTCAAAAGATGGTTTATCTTGTTAGTCTGCTCCTGTAAGCTTTTCAGCAAAACCTAGTTCTATGAGGGAGGGAGGTGCTTAGCATGCAGATGATTTAGGAACTGCTTCTATTTCTAAAGGTGCCTTGCTAAAGTGAACTCAAATCTGGGGTACAATTCCAGTCCTGCCTTGACTGCACAATGAAATAAGGGATCCAAACAACTACCAGTGCTCTCACTGCTATTGATAATACTTTTTTAAGAAAACTTCCACTTTCATCTTGTATTACTTTTAATCTAACAGCTCTGCACATATCTTTGAAATGCTGCCTTTACATGAATAATACAGGTTCATAAAATATTCAAGTTCAATATCTATGCTATGACATACTGAGATTTTCTGCTCTTGTCAGGGTGTCTATTGGAGAATGCTTGATCCTGCTCCAAATCTTTATTAGTTTGCCATGTACAATTAAATTTTATAATACATTACAGTTATTTGCATGCACTGTGTAAATTACACTATATTCATTGTGCAGACTGAGGATGTCTCTATACGTAATATCATTTAGACGTAAAATTTACTCCAATGGTCTGTTTGTTTCTCTGCTGTGTCAATTATGTAAGGATTCCTGTATGCAGAAATGCAGACTGATGTGCATACATTACATGTAAATACCTGGCTTAACAGGTACAAGCCCAAGAAAAACTACTGAAAAGCAATTGTGATGATTATTTTTGCAGATTTAATAATTAATGCCAAAGCATCATAAAGCAGCCACCTGCAGCTACAAAATATACACAGCTTGTAAGAATTTTGCAATTAATCAACAGGCTTGTTGTAACAGTCCTGCTATAACATGCTGATGAGTGTGTGCAATGTGCTATTTCCATCTACTTATTATAAAAATAGTCTATAGTGATTCCTGTTTGGTCTGACAAGAAACTGGCCCCTGATTTTGGTTTCCCCTGACAAACATAAGTTAACAAAGACCAGGCACAGTAAAAAGCAAAAGTGCTCTACCTTATATCTGCACAAAATATCAAAGCATCTGATGTGTTCCAAATTTCTGTACATCCTAATCACTCTGAAGTCTAGGAGCCAGGAGCTATTGACAACAGAATTATAGTGAGAGGGTCAATGATATAATCTAGAGATTTAAGGTGGCCTACTACAGATACCTCAAATTTACATTTTAAATGTAAATCTAATTCAGAGAGAACAATGCTAGGCATTCCCCCCCTCAGCAAAGGCATGGCTGTATATGGCATCACCACTGGCATGGCTTTTCCTCTGTGCTTCATGTGGTGCCTGGAGGCAGTTACACATTTTGCTCCTGTTTCTGTTCAGGAAGTCTGAAATGATGAGAGGTGCTGCTGGAGCAAAGCTTTCATCTGAGGTGCCAAGGTGTGTATTACATGCCATGGGTCAAGGCTAGGGGACATACAAGAATATGCAAGACCGTGAGCTTGGCAGCTTAGTCAATAGGGCAGTATTAGAGACCACTGTAGGGCAGAAGACCATCCTGACATGACCCTCTTTGTGCTGCTTATGGGGAGAGGTGCCTTAAGTGAGCATTGGCCAGAATTGTACCTGAGGGCAACTAGTTGGTTAGCATCCCAAAAAAGAAGCAAATTTGCACACATGCAGCACCCAAGTATGTGAAAATTCATGATTGGTTCAAAAGAACACACCAGAGAACAAAGCATACATCACTGCTAAATCTGCTAAGGAAAGGGATCATAAGAAGTGTCATTGTATGGCTCAAGGGCAATTCATTTGTAGTATCAAGTACGCTCTTGCATCCAAAGAAAGCCTAAAAGGACCACAGCTCAAAGCCAGTTCTGACAGAAACCTGGCAGGGCTGTGTTGCTTTGTACACTGACTGTATGAGACACCAACAACATTATGCCAACTGGAGTAGTAAGGGTCAACCTCAAAGGTCTATAAAAAGGAAAGCCAAGGGGCACACTTTCTTCTGGACCTTTCTAATGTATTAGTGATTTTTACAA